TTCACAGATTCTTGCACATTATATTTTATTGTACTCGTTATCAATATATGTGTTCGACACACCATGCTTTCGACAGGTGTACCTCAACATTGAGATCGAGGGTCGTGATGATTTTTCACTGTACATCTGCCATACATCTTTTACAAGTCATAGCACTGGCGATCTAACAGTTATTTATGTCTGATCATTGACAATTTTGCCATTTGTATGCAATGTTTTGCACTTTTGACAATAGTAAAGTATACTAAGTGGTTCGAATTATGTATATCCATGTACCTAGGGGGGTATTCACTTTTAAATGATACGGTATAAATATGTCTGGATCAAAATCTTCAGATTCACTTGTGCATTTCTAAAGACGAATTGGATTCTATTTTATGCCATCAAACAGATACAACCTTGTTCAAATCTCAAAGAGTCGCTGAGAAGGAGGAAACCCTTCCAGAGACTCCCAAAGTCCCTGTCACGATACCCTTTGCGCTGGTGAAGGACTATTGGGAATTGGCACGAGCAGCCGATCAGTATGAGGGACGTTTGTTTGAGCTTTTGCTCGGAAGTGAGATATACGAGACACCTTACGTTCCACCGCCCAAGGTGTGTAGACAGTTATTAAGATTCCGCTAGCGGTCAGTATTTGTACTTACATATCTGATATGGCTATACTCACTCAAATATGTGTTACGATAAATATAATATCTATCAGTATCATGCTTCGACTCGTTGACATAACACACCACTATACACATGTTTGTGCAGTGTCCAGAACTTGTGCACAGGTTGAAACGGCTCGAAATCATGTCACAAGAAGCAGAGTACAGGCGGATGACCAGAAATGTAGACACTTCTCGAATCCGAAAAGATGCGCAAACGGACGCTCGTGAGCTGAAGGTAAAAAACATTTAGTCTTACATATTTGTTTAGTAATTCTAGGCGTAGTATCCGAGATTGATGTTAATTCGTCGTATACGCCCATGATATCGGTTCCCAATAGCACAATCGGTTTCTGCATGGTGAATAGTTATCTCGTACAGCTTGAGACCAACAACGGTGCAACCAGATTTATACTATTTTATGTGATGTACGTTATTGTGATATGGTGTATCATAGTGTTGTTGTACATCGCTGTAATTCTAAGCCAATAGGATTTTCACAGTATGAATTTAAGCTATTGTGAGATCTTGGTATGGATACGAGCTTATCAATATATACACACGGACAGCACGAGATGATTTCTCGTACATTTGGCAATACACACACACAATGTATGTATGTAGGTATGTATGTATGTTTTTATGGTCATATTCCTCGAAATCACAGGGACAGTTAGTCGCAACTTACAGGACACAGACTCACAGTCGGACAGGACATACTCTGTACGAAATATTTTGTCTTGTGGTTATGAGGATCTTATATAATGCTCTACATTGACTATCCAACTACTAGTGATACACAGTCTGCCGTGTTCTGCTTGAATCTCTCCCTCTATACCTAGACTATTCACGCAGGTATATACTAAGTGCATAATATATGTTTTGTATGTATGTATGTATGTATGTATGGATGTATGTATGTATGTATGTATGTATGTAGGTATGTATGTATGTATGTATGTATGTATGTATGTATGTATGTTTGTATGTGTGTATGTGTGTATGTATGTATGTATGTATGTATGTATGTATATATGTGTGCCGATGTTTGTGCAGTGGTGAACTACTTGATATGCTATACTCTAATCGAGCTGCGAATAAAAGTATGCTGCCTTGTTAATACATGTTTGACGTCTAGTTCAGCTCAGTGGGATTGTTCTACCTCCAAGTGGGTGTCTACCGTATGAGCAAAATTTGCGCTCAGGTTCTATACCGATATCAATACCTGCTTATAACTTCTTGTACACTACAATTTATCCATAGGGTGTGAAGCAACAGTTCTTCATGCTTGTCAACGTGGTGCTATCGGCCGGAGGTGTTTATCTCGCTGCGTACTACGCACTTTACAACCAACTCAGCTACGGACCTGTAAGTACCACTACACCTGAGACACAGATACGTGCACAGAATTTTTTCTTCGCTGAATGATATGTACTCGACAGAATGATCAACCGTTGACAACATACATATAACGCTAAATCTAATTTCCGCTCAGTTGCTAGAACATCCGCGCTGTACGAAAGTAGCACTACCTATGCCACCCTTGAGGTTTGCTGCTTTAAATCCTTCAGGATTGTCGATATTCTCATGCAATGGCAATCGTATCGACCTTTTTTCCAGTGACTAATTCTACTGAATTTGCCTCAATACTTTGTGCGCTTTCCTGCAGCGTGTGGGTGTCTCAACATTGGCTATGGTCGTCGCCGTGGTAGCTGAAATTTGGCTGTTCCTGAAGGGCGAAATCTTCTACAACAATTTCGAGAAGCCTTCAAAAGATCGGGAAGAGAAGAAACGTGTGGACGCAATGGTTAGTAGTGCGATGGGAAACTCTGAAAAGACTAGCGCGATGAGGAATAGTACCGAAAGTACTGTGCTTGCAGAAGAGAGCAAAAAAGAAAGTTAAGTCACGGATATAAATGCACGGCACCGTTCAATAAAAAGTCAAGCAGAACTGAGGTACCATTGAGTAGCAAATGCAAAAGGTGGACGGTAGTACCACCGAGATAAAAATCTACGTCATTCTCGACACGTTTAGTAATACGGTTGCTACTACTAAGAGACTTCAGAGCTAGATTTTACTTTGAAAAACAAGAAGTACACTCATTTCTACGCTATGTGCGGAGTCTCAAGTGTCAAAGTAAAAGTTTAAACACACATGTTTCTGCTACTACATTTGAGTAACAAAGCCTGTTCATTTATACTCGTTGCGCATTGTGCCCGAGATGGACTCTCTAGCTGTACGGTCGGGTTGGCGGGAGTGTCTGTAAACCTGACGTAATCTTGTGCGCACGTTGTCATTGCGCGATAGAAAAGCAAAGGCGCAAGTCCTTAGCTTAGAAATCCGTGTCTAGCTTGACTAGTTTCTATATATTATGCTTCAAGTAGTCTGTTGTTCGCGTATACGCCCTCAGATATTCGATACACACGGATGTTGACTGAAATACAATATGGGCTAACGTCCAGACCACAGTTGCGTCATCGACGCTGAACGGATTGCTATTGGTTGCCGTCTTTCCATTTGATCGATAGCACAGCATGGTCTAGCAAATGCATTGCAGTGCGTTCTGCTCATCTGCAGTTGTAATGGCCAGGCATGTCAGCATTCATCGAATAGCGTACTACAATAACAGTAGCGTCTGGTGCATTTGACGTGAAGCACTATGGCACACTCAACCGACAAGTCTGGTACAATACACAAGCACAACGCACCCTCGCCAACATCTGCACAGCACTACATCTGCATGCAACCGTGCGACGTGATGTTTTCTAGCGTAGACATCTTCAGCTGACGAGGGCATAGTATACAACAATGGTCACAACTGGCAATGATATATAAGTCGCACTCTAGCCCACGATGTAAGCCAACATATGCCGTACATGACCCCACGGGACTGGCAGCGGCAATACTTATACAGCTTCCATCGAGGTCTCGTACATCTAGTTCTTTATCCCTTGGATTCCTAATCTATAGCAGTGCTAATTCGCTAGCGCGAGTCCACCGAATCAATCGACCACAGGTGGCCCAATTTGCAGAGCAGGTCTACACCTATTCTCAGAGCATGGCGTATCCTTGAGTCCGCTCACAGATCTTCTTAGACAGACAGGGCTGTACTGATTTAGAGGTTTGCGATATATTCCGCGCTGTACTGAAAGTCCAAGCGGTGATTTTCCTTTGGTGAGCATTTTCGGAATAGAAGGTCCGTCCCTTCTTACTGCGACTAGTAGCGCCTGCCAGATTAATACCTCAGGCTCAGATCGGCGGGCAACAGCAGCTACCTCTCAGTCTATATGTATTATCAGTGATCTGCGCCTGCACTCTTCAACAATCGAAATATACTCAGACCTGCTGGTTGTCTACGGTTTGATTGATTGCGAAGTGGTTCTTACGCGTGCCGCTGTCTCAGATGGATTAGACTGTGGGCCTGTAACTAATGTCGACGAGGGCTATGCTCGCGGATGTGGTCATTCTCGGGCGTGTGGTCTCAGAGTAGTGCGTCGTCAGCTCGCGAACGGCTTGAAAGGTGAGTTCTTTAACTAAATGTACTCTACTTGCAGATAGACTCATCCACGAAGCTGCAGTATCAGAGTGGTGTGACTACGGGTGGTGTACCCAAACGCCATATAACACGTCTGCGCCGCTCTCACAAGCCAGCTCACTCTGTTTGCGTATGCAAATGAACCATACAATCAGGACGTATCGCCTGACGCTACTGCATGCCACCAGCAGAGAATGTGGCGGGCGCTATATGCGGGCGTTGAAGGACGCTGCCATTCCGCTGCGTTATGACACGGTAGCATATTACGACGACAATAGCAGAGCTTACCATTCTCGATGTTAGGACATTCCTCATCTATCCGCCAGCACCTTTCCAAGTCGGGTTCATTGCTCCGTTGCGTGCTAGCCGTAGTAGACACTGTATATCAACGTGGGTTTAGCCATGGCATTGGTGTTGGTTGCCGTTTACAGAGGACGACACCCGCCGTGACCATAGCCGGTACTAGCGTCTAGCGTTAGCGGTCAGCTTTGCTACTACCGAATTCCGAACAATCACATACAGTGTGCATTTATAATCAGCAGCAGCTATTGTCATGTTCGCAACTCACATTGTGCCTTGAGCGCTAAAGTACCTTATCAAGATGGAACCAGTCCTCTTCATGCTTGTGGGTAATCTACTTGTCCGTAGCGCTCGGCTATAAAACAAGTTCACACCTAGTGACAGCACTGTCGCAAGCTTCCACATTGCCACCCACAAAGCACGTCGAATTGTCACTCAGTGGGTATTCGGTGTATGGAAAAGTCGACGGCAAACACAATTGAACATTGTCCATGACTGTGACATTCCCTGACAACAGATTGCCAAAATCTAGGTTCTGCAGAACCGTGTTCCCGGTCACTACCACTGAACCGTTGCCCTAAGGAACAGAGAGAAGAATCAAATTGGTGAGTTTCAAACCATAGAGCTGAAAAGTGTGTAGGATTGTGGGTAGATGCAAGCTTACGGAAAGTAGAAAGCTACAACCGATCGATGAAGTTGTTAAGCGAACAATGTGGGGTTTAGATAGAGATAGGAAAGTTTCGGCGAGCTTTAGACATTGACAGCTATGATGTACATGATATATGTCCACCTTCACAACACAATAACGAAACACGAGACTTAAACGAAATTGCTTGATTAGGAAGCTCGTACATGCTTGCATTCACCCCCGACGACAGAGAGATGAGTCACGCTATTGTCTCTCAAATAACTACATGTTAGACGTATAGTCGCCACAGAATAGACCTCAACTAACATACCAAGTGATCGGGTGAGATGTGATACTGGACGAGATAGTGCAAGCGACAAATTTGTCCGTTAAAAATGGGACTACATGCGCACACACGCATAGACACATTTGTGCTTGCGGCCAATGCGGTCCATGTACTATTAGAATTGTTCGTGTGTCCTCAGAGCACCCGTTAATATATGCAAACTAACGATCTCTAAAGCAATAAAATCGTCTCAGATCGCATCATATTAAAAATGCACACACAATCACATGTCCGGTTTCTGCACGTTGTAACTCGTCGGGACTATAAATTATAACCTGATGGGTACAAAATTTCGTTCCTCCATTCAAGTCTCATTACTTCTCTAGTGATAGTATGTGCACAAAGGTGTTCACCGATTTTAAGACAGGGAATGGGGAAAACGATATACGTACATCACAATCGGTCATATCCGGTCTAGGTACTTCGCTGACAAGCATCAGAACGAGTGGGACAGATTCATATGAGATATACTGCATAAACTTACGTTCTCCAGAGACGGGAAGGAGATATTGGTGAGCGCCATATTATCGTTAATCCGATGATTCTGTGCTATCACACTCAAATTCGGTGCGGAAACGGACACCAAGCTCAGACTGTCGCCAACTAAAAAGTACGACGAGTACAGGTCCAGAACCACATCGCCGTACACGAAGATAGCCCAGAACACGCCACTGGACTGTATGCCGGCTTCCATCTCCGTCAACGCAGGGAAGTTCAATTCCTGCAACCGCGGGTTAAGGAAGAACACCACCGCCGACGACGACTGCAGCAGTGGCATCTGCACCGACAACAGGTTGTTGTTGGAGAACATCCCGATGGACCCCTCTGTCCAGTTGGGCAAGTCGATGGACACTATGTCGCACCGATCGATCACAATGGAGTTGATAGTGGACATCAGGAGCGTCAGGTTTGCGATACCGGCTGTGTCCTCGAGTACAATGCTGTTGATAGACTGTGAGGGAGATACACCAGGAAAGGGTAAGCGGTTGACAAGGAAAATGTCAATGTTTAGAGATGAAAGATGTATGAGCGGCTTTAGGGTTTCGCATGAGCAATTTTCGGATTTTTGCATCAGCGGTTTTAGTGGTTTTTTCATGTGCGGTTTTAGGAGATTTGCATGAGCAGATTTAAATCAAGTATAGGCACTCGGTAAGTGACGTTCCGCATATCGCCTCTGACTTCGAGTACAATGCTGTTGATTATAGGACTTGCGGTCCGAGAGGGTTAAAATTTGACGTGTTACATATGGATAAATGTTATGTTAGATATACGAGGGATGAGGATATGTTAACATATGCGCTTTAATTGCGACCCTCGATACATTTTCCGATGAACACTTACGATAATTGCCTGTGAAGATATGTATGGCATTAAACTTGGAACAAAGCACTGATGGGAAAATTTTCTACAGGCTGCCTGAGCTACAAGTTATAGTACAGTAACAATTTGCAACACGCCATTGATATTGAGCCGACTAGAGCTCTTCTCGTAAATGTCATATATTGTCGTCATGAATACCAAAATGACTATCTAGCACAGTTCGAAGAGTAATTGCTCCATTTATCCGCTTCGCTGAGCTGAAATATTGTGGATCACGTCGATTTTGAAAGTACAAGAGCAGTAAACACTATATTTAATCGTTCGCATCTATTAGCTGGATGCATGTCCCAACTAACACACCACGTTCGCAATTCGCTAGGACAAGGAAAATGAGACAAGGAAAATGCAACATACTTCCAACAGTTCCAGTCCTTCGAGCGTGAAATTGCCATTCTGCTGGACCTTGATGTTATTCAATATAGTCATTTCGGGGAAGCGTAGTATGATGTGCTGGATGTTATTGTTTATCTCCAGCGACTGTGAGAAAAGAACAGACATCTGATGAACTATGTTGCAAGCTAAAAAAAATTCAACGAAACAACCATAAGCGTAGAAGATAGCATTGCCTAGCAGCACTTGAACAATGAAGAACCGAGGAACTTGCACCTAAGTTAAATAAATAACTGAAGAACTGACACCTAAGTGAAGCAAAAGAACTGAAGAACTGACACCTAAGTGAAACAAAAGATCGGAAGGACTGACACCTAAGTGAAACACAAGAACTGAAGAACTGACACCAAAGTGAAACACATCTGGGGATGAAAAGAAGCACATGCATCTGCAAAGTCTTACATCGATTCTCTCCATTGCCATGAACTCATATGCGGCAGAGGCCACGTACGAATCACTGAGGAGGAAGAGGGATATATTCAAAAATCAGTATAAATGAGCGGATCGAAAAACAAATAAAGAATCAGAGCGATATTTGATGATGCCGTATACGATGCCAATTCATACATAATTTTAATATGACACCAGCACCGATTACAAAGATACAAGGAAACAGAAAGGGAGATATGCCAAGAATTTGCATATAAGAAAGGAATAAATTTCAAAGAGAAAAAGCAATCCTGTTCGGCATGCTTGGTTTCTTCTCACACTACCTACAGCTCTGTCGACGAAATCAGATGGTCTTATTTTGGAGTCTAGACTGGTTTGTAATTAAAAATTTCTTCGTGTGTGTGTGTGTGTGTGTGAGTGGGGAGGGGTTGGTGAAGTATGGCCGTCAATGTGTTATGCGCGGTGTATGGGACTGGTATGCAGGACTGGTATGCAACTATATACAGTAGCTCCAATCATCATACTAATTATGATGAACCACCTACCATATTTGCAAATTGCGAACAGTTGTTAACCTGGGGAACTCAATCTTGGACGACACCACCATCCCGCATAGAACCCCATCTGTCACCGTTTCTAGATTATCCATAATTATATGGCTGAAGAAGTACAGTCTGTGCACATAAAAAAATTGGGATACAAAAATTGAATGTGATTTCCGTTACTCGGTAGGTAATAGAGCACCGACTTGCAAATCTCCAATGGATAAACAAACTATTTAAAAATGTTCTCTAATAGCCTACGCTGGTTCAACACCATTTGCTGGTGCTGGCATGCATGCGAACGAAATAAATGCCCGGAAATTCACTAAAAGTCTCATATAACGCACTAAATTAACCATGTAAAACGCCGACACAATTGCAGCACATACAAAGGTACATACCGCTGAAAATTCATACTCAAAGCCGTCGTCAGCGATCGCAAGTTGAGTGTGATATTCCTAGGAAAGGTGATTTGATTTATACCACCATTTCGCTCGAAGTCCTGTAGTTCAAGGAAGAGTACATCGTATTCTTCCGGCGTGAAGACCTTAGGGTTGATCACATCGGTAGCGATTTCACTGTTAATGTCTGTGATGTACAGCTGTAGGTGAAGGTAAAGCATACCACAGTAAATTGTCGACACCACTAACAAAACCCACCCGATACTTGATGGAGATATGCAGCATACATTAGAAGTGCGGAAAAAGCTACTCGCAAGTTGTCGGTGAACAAGATGTTCTTGAAGACCTAGACACTCCTGTCACATCATGCTACAACAATTAAATACCGCAGCAAATCATGCCTTTATGAAACAACCGCTACTAGAGAACCAGACAGTGGCCGTACACTCCATATCAAGCAAATACATGCTGTGAAATGTTGCGCATTTCACGAACACAATTTGAAGCCAAGGTACATTTTTCTCACCAGTGATAACAACAGAAAACTAACCAAATAAGTATAGCCGTACAATTGTAAGCAAACAAGCACACAACAATCGTATACGCACACCATAAAGATGGTCCTTAGAAACGGGGCAATGATATGATAAAACATAAAGCAACCAAGTGCAGAGACGGTCATCAGTAACGAGGCACTGAATCCGCTGTGATATATGATTAACAAACATAAACAACCAAATACAGCCTGCACCTTGAAGTGAAGTAAGTACACACAACAATCTTTTGCGCATACCACAAGACGCGTTCTGCGACATCGGGGCAATAATGAACAAATGAAACCACATAGAACCGAATTTAGCTATTCATTGCATTGAAGAACGCGCACACACCGACCATTCAAGCATACCACGGAGACGTTCTCCAGCAACGGTACACTGATTTCGCCTACGATAATGGAGTTGGCCACCTCGAAAGTGACAAACTTGGTGGCACTCGGGAAAGTTAAACCCGTGAACGAGCAGTCAGCAATGACGATGGTAGTCGCAGACAACAGGACAGGGAATGTGAGATTTTGCAGCGACCTCAAACCGGCAATCCTTATATACTCGCTGGGAAATGCAGGGAAAATGTATAATGGAGGGTCATTGGAATAGTCAGGGAGTGCAGTGGAAAGTACATGAATGACAACGGCATAAGGTATGCGAGGTTCTAAAGAAATCTCAACCTGTCGATCTTTATATAGTCTCCTAGAAATTAGCTTGTGCGTACAGTGGAGGAAACATTCAAAGGGTCGGGATACGCAGGACGTAGGCGGGTGTGTCGTGGAAAAGTATGCAAATGAATCGATGAACGTTGCGGACAGCTTAGGCAATGCAAAGTTCTGTAGCGGAACCAGCCTATCAACCTTGTTATATTTAATGCAGCATGGGAATGTAGTGCGGACACCATGGGAATAGTCAGGGTTGATTGCAGGTGGGTGTATATTAAAAAGTACCCGATTCGTCTACTGTGTGGGTGTTGTGGAGGATCTTAGGATTAGACAGGGTATTGTGAAGTGGACAAGTATGAGAAGCATGTACGTGAAGCTGCATAGCCGGATGGCGACAGCCACAACAGACATATATATGAGTGTGTGTGTATGTGTGTGTGTGTGTGATCTATTTATATTCATAATTATATAATATTTGGACTGTACAACAGTATATACCTAGGCTTTCCTTAATAAAAATTCAAATGCGACGACAAAGGGAATGTTAAATCACCTACGATTGATCATATACTATGCAACACTCAAATAGTTTATGTACAAGTAACACTACGATAAAAGCCCGCCTCTCAGAGCAAACGAGGACGAGAGAATGCTGACAAACAGAACACAAAACACTACACTTTCCATTTGCGGGTGAAATCAGGTTTACGTCTATCGCTATCTACATATCAAATGCTAGAAGTTATCACGCGTTCCAATTCACCAACCGCGATATCAAAATTGTATTCATATGCACGCGAGTTGCGAAATGGCAAGCAAAAAAGGGTACATCCGAACGGAAGGTCAAACAAAAAGTCTTGCTTAAGACAACAGCCCACACCACGCTCACACGTGTAGGCCATCATGGGAAGGTCTATTTCAGTGATATAATGAAGGTCACACAAAATGTCTTGCTTACGAGAACAGCCCACACCCTGCACATACGTGTAGGCCAATATGGGAAAGTCTATATCCGTAATAAAATGCATATCGCTGTCGTGGCATCGATTGTTGTCCATGATGATGTTCAACGAAGCATTGCTCAGATTGGGGAAGGAGAAACTCGTGGGTGCCAGCAGGCCACTGCACTCTATCGTGAGGTTGACTATTGACTTCGCAATCGTCAATGTGCTGTGATGTATTAGAGTGCGCGCGGTTCAGGGATTGCATATAGTATATTAAGGTCAATATACATCGCATTGCAAATCAGAATCTCAAATGGGGGCAAGTGATTGTATATGATATGAATGCATAAGGTTTACAGGACTCAAGAAAATACAGCAGTTATAGGAATGACGTCACCACGGTTTCGAAACGCACTCATAAGACAAATATATGAATATCGAACAGTACAGATTGGATATGTCCGCACGCCTTGAAATCTCGACTGAGGACAACTTGTGATCGGCTTCTCACTGAAGTCTAAACAGGCACCTCACCATACTAGTAAGCCCCATATTTGACTACAAGTCTGAAGCTGTTGATGCTTACGATAATATGCGGTGATACAAAAACTACGAGAAATTAATATGTAGGCCTATAAATTTTGTTCCGAACTATTGCATCACATAGATTGTCCTTAACCAGCATAATAGCTACACAAAGCATTCATACCCCACGCCGTTGAAGTTGCTGAAGGTGACCTCTGCGAAGTGGTTACAGCCTTTAGCATTGACTTTATGTAGCTCCGCTTCGTTGGTAATTATCTTCGTCGTAAAATTGAGGCATGGGTCCGGGGCATCGGTTTGAAGCAGAACCCTAATGATTTACATACCGCACAAAAAAAAGAAGAGGGCTGAGATCTCGCAATGTTTCAGGGTTTATGGCGTATGCCTTAAAGTGGTTTAGAGTTCCAGGTCACGCTTGTATGCGAGTAATCTATTTTGATTTGGGTAGAGTGCTGGCACATACTTTTGTGTTATAAAATTTAATTGGTAATCACATAGAACTTAAAAAACCAAAACATTATGCGTACTTCCGCGCTATAAAATTTGATTGGGAATCAGAAAGAACTTGGGAAAAAAATCTATAAAGACACACTGTCCCAATATTCTAGTAGAGATAGCCACAGGGTTGATACAAACACCACAAATACCGGCAAAACATGGTACAAAAAGTGAGCCTACGACATATACTCGAAACAACCAAAACATTGCCAGTAAGGAAGCCATATCACTCCCAAGGATAGTATAATGACCATCGTAATTAAAGACAACGGAATAAGATTTGATATGCGAGATCCATTCTGACAGAACTAGAAGGATGCGACGACTTCTCCATCTAAGAGAATTTACACTGCTTCAAACAAAACAAGTGCGATGATATGGTCAATTCCGGTAAGGCAAGCACTTACACTAGATAGCAACAACGGACATAGGAAACGGACAACATCAAACTACCAGGCGAACAATGAACCTATTCACAACTACAGTCAGCATAACCAAACAATATGAACGTCTCAGGAAGCAACTAACCCGGCTGCCACTGCAGGTAGCAACACCAGGTGACAGCAACCGACTAAGAACGCAACTTACACAATCACAACTATAGCCAGCAATACCAGTGTGACTATAAACAGTGCCACTGCGATAAGGTAACGGACGCGGTTCCGTTTGTACCGCTCCTCTAATTTGGCCATGGCCATTTGCAGCGCGGTCAGGTCCAGATTGGAATCACTGTCCTCCAGCTCCACAACCGGGTTCTCTGTTACGGTGGTAGAGCACGAATCAATTAAAAATCAGCACCTTTGCATAGACCCTTGACTGATATGTGTGAGCGCATTGGACGTGATATTCGTGAGCTTTGCACCCTGACTCAAAATACACGAAGTAGCCGACCGTGAGGTCAATGACAGACGTACAAATGCTAAGATGCGCGAGCTCCCACCAACGGCACACTTGGTGCAGAACGAAAGTGGATCAAATAACGATACCTATGCGTGACCTACTATATGATTGGCAACAGAAAAATCTTCTCAGAACATTGGGGAACAATCTTGCCACAACATTCCGAAACAAATTTAGGCGATACACAAAACTGTCGATCTATACCATCGATGTGGGCAATGAGAAGATCAGTGGAACCGAACATTTATATATGCATTGCAGTACCAGACCAAGACAATATTGCTCCCCACTGGTGGGTGGCAAAGATGCTAGAGATAGTTAAATTTTATAAAGTACGAATCAACTGATCAATACATTTTTGCGATTATTTTATTGTGCGATCAATCACACAAACATCTACACTTCAGCTGTTGCACATACTCTTTAGAATCTCAATATAACGATCACGCTGGCTTTCATCTCTCTGCATCAGCTGCCGAATATGGTAGTAAAAATAGATATCAGTGTGCAATTGTATACAGTTATGCATTCAAAAATGGAGGACAGCAAAACAGATGACAAAAAAAACCCCCACGTCGTACTTCCGCGCATCCATCACTATTGCAAACACAGACAAGACCGTAGACGAATCCTGTGAGAATCCGTTGCAAATATATATAGTAGAAGTGACCGACAAAACGGAATATGTACTATCATGATTTAGCAAGTACAGAAATTCTGAATTGTACGACAACCATCATCATGAGAATGAACGGCACTATTGAAATCGATAAGAAAGTGCACGCAACGATTGATCTGCAGCTATAAATCTCAATCCAATTATTACCTAATACATACATACATATATATATATATATATATATATACGTTATATATATATAAATATATATATATATATATATACATATATATATATATACTATGTATATATACATACATACATACGCACAAACAAATATATATATATATATGTATGTAAATTTATATATATATGTATAGTTATATATATATATATATATATGTATATATATATATATATATGTGTGTGTCTGTCTATCTGTGAACAAACACACGTACACAAACACACAATTACATACATATATGATATAATAACACACACAAACACACACACACACACACACACAATATATATATATATATATAATTATATACATATAATATATACATATATATATATATATATATATACATATTTAAATATTTATGTATATATTTATATATATATATATATATTTATATAAATCTATAATATACATACATACATATATATATATATATATATAGATGTATGAGTACACACACATACACACATACACAAAGATACACGCAGACACACACACATATACACAAAGATACACGCAGACACACACACACCTATATATATATATATATTATATACACACAAACATATATATATACAGAATAAGAATAAGAATGATATTGACAATAATTACATATATCGATATATATATATATATATATATATATAAACAAGTCGAGCGCTCGCGTGTACTTTTGAAAGTGTCATTTGTACTTCAAAACTCACCTCAGTTTTGAAATGTTCGAACCAGGGTCCTTTTGGGATACCCGTCTCGTGTTGACTTGAGGGTGTTATACTAGTCCCGTCATCTGTGAGAGCCCTTGAGTCTTTGGAAGTGACCAGGCGCTTTAGAAGTGACATTGCGCCTTTCCTAGCCGTGTTGATAGGTGTTCCTGGTTCGGTGTGGGCTTGCTCGAGTTGGTTGCTTATAATGTCTCCTAAAGAATTCAACTGCGCCATCGAATCCGCAAGCAGTTGTTTACTCATACCTCTCCTTGACCGATCCGAATGCAGAATCAACTGCACGCGCAGTCAAATACCGGGGATTGGATGGGAGATCTATGGGCGTATGGATGTTTTTATGATGCTGTTTTACATGGTAACATATCAATGCATATTTTAATATATTTTTATAGGCAATGCAAGTCGCAAGTGTCCTATTAGTTACCTGGGAGTTAGACTGCCTCAACACAACATCAACTAAGGCATCATGTCTTCTCTCGCTACTACTAGTAAAGACAGATGAAGCATAGCCTTCCAGATAAAGATCGATATGAAATTAATGCACGTTTCTATTTTATATATTTGGAGCGCGGCCAAACTTAAAATATAAAGATTTTCCCACAAATTTTTGTGTGAGCTCTCTCGCTCTCTCTGAGAGAAAGGGAGAGTAGAAGAGTATTTAGAGAGAGCCCATTCACTCAAGGCTTGATCAAGCAGCGGGGCGATCAATATTAGCTTTCTCTCTCTGTCGCTCTGTCCTCTACGCTAGAGAGAGAACGCTTCGTTATGACATCATCCCTCATGGCAATTCTGATGGGGGGACGGTCATGGGTAGTGTATGAGCCGTATTATCACAGTATGTGACGAATGCACTCAGCACTGTTTGTTCCAAATACACAAGTACAGTATATAGTAATTGCATGCAGCTCCGCAAGCCTACAGATGTAGAGCTGTCTGAACTTTTGATCCCGCAGTCTTTCAGTAAGACAAATGGATTCACTTTGTTTGACTTCAAGTGCAATTCAAAGCTCTTCGCTTGTTATATAATGTACCACCGCTATTTGCTTACATGCGTATCGTCTCTACCTCTGCATTCAATTATACAGTCTAGAGCAAGAAACTTCCTTCTGTCAGATACCTTTGTTGGGCAAATATCTTCTCACTCTCAAATGCCATTAAGTGTTTCGAGGAATATGTCGCTTTCTCTCAGATTCTTGGCTTGCGCCAGACTGAGTATGAACTTGAGCGGCAATTTCTCTCGATCTTGAAGGCTCGCAGCGTTTACACTACCTTTGTGGGCAAGCAAAATTTTCGATGTTAGCGACTATTCAACCTGAACCAGTTGCCGTTTAGAGCGAACCAGCTACAAATTCATGCAATATTTATCAAATCTTAATGGTGGTCTATTTCGTTCGCCATGCACTCATCTATACGGAGGGCACAACTGCACAACTGCACAACTTGAGTATGTATGAACAAGCCAAAAGTAGAGTGTATCATCCTGTCTGTATTGTGTGAGGGTATGTATAAATTCCAACTGTGAATCTTCCTCGGATAAAGACTCACCAAGGTAAAAGTAGGGCTGTGCTGGTGGCCTGCAGAAGACGTGCACCTCGGCTTTGGTTCGATCTGTGAGGACAAATGCATATTAAATGTGAACCACGTTTGTCAAAAAATAGACTTCACGCACAGAATCACGCCGTAGGTTTTCAATATATATATGTCTATATGTATGGACATACATTGATAAAAATGTTCATCAATATGATTATATATATATATATATATATATCAAATAAATTAGTATATTGCCGTAGCACTAGGATTGCATCAACATGGTGGTGTTTACCTGCGCACTTCTCATGTCCACAATCGGTGAAATCCCCGGGAGCCAGCGAACGCAGTAGTCTACATATAACAGGTGATTCGACTGTCTGGCGGGATTGCGCGTACCATATCAATTTCGCATAATTTTCTTGGAAAGTATTTTGATAGCTCTGCGAGAAAATAAATAAAAAAATGCGCGCAGGAATATATGAATGCACAATGGTGAACAAGACGACAAGAGACAACATGCGTGAGACGATACCCACAAACAAGAGAAGGGAGCCCAGGCGCAGACTGACTCGGGGTTATAGCTGATACACATACGCTGTCGAGGTTGATGAAGAGCACAATAGCATTTCTCCACTCCTGTATACCACTCATCTTGTTGTATACGGGTCGTTTGGGCGAGGCCAATGCCTCCATGACCGCTCGTTTCATAGCACCTCCTTCGATAACTTCAGGGAACTGAGATGTAGAGTTATAAAGGTTTGAGAATGCAAGAAAACAGGAGAAGGCAAGATTCAGTACAAGCACACTGTATCATTCTGAAAAAAATGGAAGTGTGTTGGTTTGTGTAAATACTGATATCGTCCTATGATAAGAAAGATTGCATGAAAATTAGAATACATACGAGCATTTATGTGCGCATACATTAAAACCGAAGGCAACCCGGGCTCATATGTGAATTACCCCATCCACACATTAAGGACGTATATTCGCATAAAAAATTCATTTTCCATACAGTCGATAAAATCTTAATTGCATGGAATACGATAAGCTCGCACGCATACGACTTCTTATCAGGATATCGGTCTGTTTGGACATACGAATTTTCCTTCAAATCCACTAAAAGTATTATAGTTCATGTCCAGGTGTCGGATCGAATTTGGAGGCGGTACTGCTACAGTCTTCGCGGAGTTATTCCGTACAGGTCGCTTGTAGAGTTCTTTCGATGTTCTTAATCTGGAAACAAAACGTAGTAGAGTATGACTATGAGTGTAAATGTTACTAAAAATTCGATGACATGGACATTGACAGATCACGCACTCCAGGGGAGTGTATAAACTTGCCAATCCATGCGAACACCTGTATAAATATCTGCGTAGATGTGGAATATACATTTTAACACTCCGCGAAAAATAGCTCTGAATCAAACCAACCGTTGCTCTTGAAGCGCTACATCCTTCAGTGGTATAGAATCGTCCTTGTAATTGACATCGCTATTTCGGGTACTTCGCGTTGAACGTCTGGTCGGTTCTCGGATCTCATATTGGCTAGTCTTGGCCCATTTTCGTTTGGGTTTCGGAGCGAAAGAGGTGGCCTGCATTATATTATATCATTGCGACCGATTAAATGAAAATGAAAATGGACTATGGACAATAGATTAAACTCCGACATAAGGCTCTACTGCACATGCTCATT